AATATTCGGGGCCTCTAGAACATTGTGGCCCCCATATATTCGGGGTCCCTGGGGCCCCTAAACCTTTGGGCCCAATGGGGCCTTTCAAGTTTTGGGGCCCCTGGGGGCCCCTAGACCTTTGTGGCCATTGGGGGCACCTAAACTCAAGACAAGAGGTGCTGAGATGTTAGTGTTTAAATTGCATTTCAGTTTGTCCATCAGGTTTTATTAATCATTTTGATTAATAATCATATTGTACAAGCATCTCTTCTCCCAGCTGTAAAGAAATAAACATTTAGCTGATATTTTTTATGCAAATGTTCGTGATCCAGTCTCAGCATTTTTGCTGACATCTGTGAGAAGACGGTGCTGAAGAGGATCCTGAAGGATCTGTGGAAGATCGTCCTGAGCAGCCTGGAGAAGACCATCGTCCTGCCTCAGAGCAACGACAGCCTGGTAAACACAACCATAACCCTAAACTGGACCTCATCCTAACCTTACCCCTGTTCTTAACCTTCAGGAAGCCCTATGGTGAGGACAAGACAAAATGTCCTCACTTAAAATAAATGTCAGTTGTAAGGTCTAAGACTGCTCTTTACGAAGACACGAAAGCAATGACAAACAGTTGTATGATGAGGTGAACAGAGGAATCCATATTCCTTATTTGTCCTTTGTCAAATGTCTTTACAGGAATCAACAAGTCCAGCTTTACATACTGATGAGTGTAATGAGAGGACAGTGAAGGAGATGGAAAACAGTTATTAAAGGACTACCTGTGCACGTACACTATACCCACTTTAGTAAATCTTGCCCTTTTTGTATTGATCTCCTTTTATGTCTTTTTAAAAGCTGTATTTTTGCCATGTGGTCACAGAGCAGCAGGCAGGGACTGCACTGAAAAACATCTCCTTGTTGGTGCTTTCAAGGGCACTCCGACATCTGAAAAACTAATATAGTGTATACATGTACACATAGTGTTAGAAAGGCTCCAAGCTGAAAGGGACTTTGTTTCTCTCACCTGCACATAGTGTAAACATCCAGTTTGTACTGTCTCAGCTTCAGTAAGATCAGAAGCTGTGCTCTGCTGCCACTTAGTGGTAAAGGTCTGCAGGTGTGATTCTCTTTACAAAATGTTGGAATGGTCTTTACATGAGGTTTGCTCCTGTTTGTTTCCTCTGTGGAGATATCAATTGTTTTAAATTACTGTATTTAGTATTTTGCACAGGAGAATTGAAGTAAGTCTCTCTCTCCTCATCCTCTCTGCAGAGCACCCAGCTCCTCACAGCAGCTAAAGGACTCTCTAACCTCAAGGTAACACACAGTAACTGTTGAAAAAGGGAGTAACCACATGTATGTTTGTTAATTGTTCACCACCATGTTGTCAGTTCCTGAAGCCAAAGAAGAGAGCCACAGCCTGGATGCTAGCAAACTTGCAGAAATTGCCAGGCTACAACAGGATGGAATCAAACAATAACTGTTTTTAAACTTTTAAACTGCCTCCCAGACACATGTTAGAAAAAGTAAAATTAGCCACAGACACCATAAGTTGACATTTGTATCTCAGCCCTCGCACTGGGGGTTGTCCTGCTGATGACAGTTCAGATTCAGTTCTTCAGTGATCTACAACAGTTCTCAGTGTAGATGTATCAATGTGCCATTGCTGTATTCATAATATTATATTCCAATATGAGCACAAAGAAGCAACATTAAATATCAAGACAATGAGAAAAAACACAAACCTGGACTCGTGATTTTCCATGTTTCTTTTTTTCTTGTTTTCTTCTTATTTATCTATTTTGAGCGCTGCCCTTTTGAGGACAGTTTGTCTAATGTCAATCTGTGATTGCTGTAGGGAGGAGGTGAAGCCAAAACCCTGACGCCCAAACAGTGTACAATTATCGATGCAGGGCTGGAGACAATAAAGGTAAGTGGAGACCTGCACACACACTTCTGAATTTCACACGTACAGCTAGCAGATGCATCTACACTGGTCAGTTCTGAGACATTTATGTGATGCTCTGGCATTACAGAATATGTATGACATTTGTAAAAACTACAGTGCAGTAATGTGTTTGTACTTCTATGTCAAGTAGCCTACACCAACATTAGCCAAGATAACTTGTAACAGCTATTTTGTACAAATGAAAAACATTGCCTGCATGAATAAGACTGTTTTTTAACTTTAGCTACTGGATGTTACCACCACGTGTAAACTGGCATATTTGTTCATTCAGACCAAATCAATCAGTGAAATCCACTTTGAATTCACAGAAGACACTGTTGTTCTAATATATTGCTTATGCTACTATTTTTAAGAACAAGAAAAAAACGAATGCTTTTTTTGTGCACATGTTCAACAAACAGTAACATTTTGTTGGATCCTCTCTCGCCCTGCTGCTGTCATCTCTGTCAGCAATACTTCCATGCAGGAGGAAATGGGCTGAAGAAGGCATTTGTTGAGAAAAGTCCTGAACTGGCTTCACTGCGTTACGCCCTCTCCCTCTACTCCCAGAGCACAGACGCTCTCATCAAGACATTTGTCACCACACAACACTGCCAAGGTGAACACACACTGCATGTAGAACATAAAGGCTTTACATGACATCCATCATGCGGTTTAATTTGACTAACACCGAATCTCTCTCTTTTGCTGTTCTCTCAGTGCATGATGGGATTGGCATCAGAATCACTGGCAACGAGAAAATTGGCCCTGACCGAGGTAAGTCTGTGTCAGTCTAGGGTTAGGTTCCACTGGGAACCTTTGAGCTTCTCTGTAGTGCAAGGCTGCTTAACTGCCAATGTGAAAAGTTACAGAGACTTTCATATACAATATGGCAGTGTGACTTTACTGTTACCCAAATTATCATCATCAGCCTGTAATGAATGAAAGTAAGTTTTCAAGACATTTAAAAAAATGTGTCACTGCAGCAGCAATAAGACCGAGTCATGTTAAAGTGTTGTGTTCAGGTTCAGGGTTAGAGAAGCCAATCGGAGAGGCCGTGCTGCAGATCGACATGCTGCTCGGGAAAGAACGCAAAGTCAGCGTCAGAGGTGAGTCTGACCTTTAAAGGACCATGCTGGTTTAGCATGTTGTAGCTCATTAGCTATTATTTGTTTATATAGTCATTAAGCACAGGTTATCCATGATCATTCCCTGGGAGGGCAGTTGTGAGCAGAGACTAATTTTCAAAAATCTCTTCATTTTTGAAGTGTGAGTTATTAACTCAACAATACAAAACACAGTTCACACCATAATTCTACCTCAGGGTACAAGAATAAACTTTGAAGCACAGCCATTTTTAAAGCAATTCTTGTAGACAACTAGTGGAAAATCCTCCTCCCCACAAATCCCAGTGTAGCCCCTGCACACATGCAGCTACATACAGTTAAACATCCAACAGTACCATCATTAACACTGAATCTCTGTTGCTCTTTCCCGTTTTCTCGCTCATATATGTCCTTCTCTTCCTCTCCATCACGCCATGCAGTCATCGCAGTGAACGACATGAAATGGCAAACATCAGGGATGTTCCGGCCCTTTGTTGAAGTCTCCATGGTCGGTCCGTTCCTGGCTGACAAGAAACGCAAGTTCACCACAAAATCAAAGAACAACAGCTGGACGGCAAAGTTCAATGAGGCTTTCCAGTTGTGAGTGTGAAAGTCTTCCACCTACATGTTTGCTTGAATGTGCTGAGATACTGTAAATGAGTGGCTGGGTTTTCATTTCCTCCTCTGCTCTGTAGTGTCGTGGGTAAGGAATCCGCAGACTGCTACGAGCTCCAGGTGACTGTGAAGGATTACTGTTTCGGCCGGGCGGACCGGGTGGTCGGTGTGTCCGTAGTTCAGCTGCGTGATGTCGCCGACCTCAAGAGCTGCGTGTGCTGGTGTCCGCTTGGGCCACGCATTCACATTGACAAGACGGGCATGACTGTGATGCGTATCCTGTCCCAGCGGCCTGCTGATGAGGTGGCCAAGGAGTTTGTCAAGCTGAAATCTGAAACTCGTCCTGTAGAGGAGGGCAGATGAACAAAGCCACTAACTCAGTGTTTGAAATGGTTAAAAAAAGACATGGATCAAGGTCACATTTTAGAGCCAGGGCTTCATCTGTTCAGGGTTTGTTGTTCCTGAGCACTGCCCTCTCCATCCTCAGAAAACTCAGACCATTAAAGCTTCTGCTGATAATGTTAAACAAGGAAGAGATCCTTCAAAAGACACAGCAGACACAAGCAAGCTGACTTGTCATAATTATGGCAAGAAAGAAATGGAAGCAGATACTCTCTCAAATGTTAAAAGAAGAACATTTAACCAGAATCTGCTTTAGAGCTGCAGAGATTAATTGATTAATCAGTTAGTTGTTGGGCAGAAAAAGAACAAAAATAAAACAGCCTGTGGTCTGTTTTAAAAGAATCATAGTTTGCTCATTTTTATTCAACTGATGATAGAATTAAATGCAGCACTAACTGGCCACATCACATGTAACATCCTTTTATTCACGCCAACTCACACACATACCACCAGATGCATCGCAAAGAAAGAAGAAGTCAGGATACAGTATCCTGGACATGCAAATTTCAAAAAGGGAATGTTTTCTTGGAACAATGACATATGTCTACGCTGGGAAATACCACAGAACAGTGGAATATTCTGATGCCTCCAACCAAGAAGACGCGTCAAGATGATGAATGTTTTTCGCAGATTAAACATATAAAACCTTGAAAAGAAGCAAAGGATTTAAATGTGTAGTCGGTTCTTGCCTTAAAAAGTCAAATAACTAACATAGCTGGCTCAGTGGGATTAGAGAGACTTAAGTCATGGCTGGGCTCTACAACACTGACTTGTAGAGTAAAAAGGCTTTTTTTCAGATGCGAAGGATTATGAGTGTGGTAATTTAAAGTATCTGACCACTGGACTGTGGCCTGTTGAACAAAGTGCAGTTTCTCTGTACAGTGAAGAACCGCAGTTTCAGAGGTTTAGAATGTACCTTTTCTGTTTTTGCCAAGAATTAAACTGTGACTGTGAAGACTGTTTACCTGTAGACCTGCTCTGAATGGAAACAACCAAAAGAATGTGTTTTTAGCGATGAAATAGTTTGGGCACCGTTATGTGGGACCAGAAATGTCTGCTTTTATAGATTTAAACTGTAAAAGAACAAACATCTTTGATGGAATTGATGCCACAGCCTCTGACATGCATGCACGGCCGCATACCAGTCATACTTTCTGAATATTTGATTGGTCTTTTGCATCAGGCACACCACAAACCTGGACTGACTGAAAATCAAACATACAAGCAGGTTTTGATCCACACTCTTGTCTGTTTACTACGTGCCAAGGAACACAAGTGTTCAGTAAGCCATGTTCAGCAAACTCTCTTCATGTATTTTGGGTTTTATGGACAGATATGGTCATTGTAGACTGTCCCAGATTTACAGTAACTGCACATTTGTCTAAACTGCACTTTGACTAGAAATTCAAGCGGATGCATTTCATAGTATTAAGATAAGAAATTCTGCTACGCTGGTACCAGATGAGAAGGTCTGGTAAAGTTCTATTCCTGGTACAAAGGTTTGTCTGCAGTGTGGTTTAAGTGCATGAACGGGGACCTTTTACAATGGCCACATCTGTAGTGACTACTGAACTCTTGCACTCTGTTTAAAACTAAGTGTACGTATGTAAAAATAAATAAATAAATAATAAACCAGGGCATGTATTTATTGTATACAAAGTCAACTAGAAATGTGACCTTTTTCATGTATGTAATGTGAAATATGAAGATTGTTCAAATGTATTTAAAGTAATTATCATTATTCTAATGACATGTTAAATATACTTACAACAGCTTTTGTACATAAAATATTTATGAATTGAGACAGTTGATGCTGTTTTTGTCTTCTTAATGCAATGTTTTGAGTTTGCAGGGTGACATTGCAGTTACAGAAACCATATTATAATTCGTGCACCCTTAAATTTTTATCCATCTGCCAGATACTAATCATCATCCTGTCCTGCAGATGTCCTCAGTGTTTCCTGCCTCATAATAATAATAATCACCTTTATTTGGCCAACTATGATACAATAATACAAGGAACTGCTCTACCCACTGAACCACAGTCGCCCCACACAGTCATCATCACCTGCCTGCCACAGTTACCTGTTCCCAGTCACCTCATTATCAAAGCTAAGTATAGGCCTATTTTCCGCCTGCCCATTACTGAACCCTTCTTTTACTGATACATTAATGTGCTCGAGCAAGTCACTGAACTCCTGTTCATTTAACTATAACCCTTCAAATATTCCACAGACCCAGATCTTTAAATGAATCCCTCATGTCTCAACGCTAATGCATGAACCTTACAGCATAAAAAGTAAAATAATAGAAGCAAAATTAATACTGCAACTCCAAACTGCACAATAGAACCCAGCCCATTTTTGATGGTACCATGAAATATTTTCAGAGTGAAGTTGCAACTTGAGTTAACTTTCTTCCTGAAGGTGTTTAGTGGTGCATATACCAAACTAACTTTAATCCAGTTAACACACAGTAATAACTCTGGGGCTGTGACTTAATCCTGAGCTGGACTTCCAATTGTGCTAACAGATTACATTTTAATTGAATATATCCGGTATTTATAATAAATTTGTCATTAAAATATTTATTTTACAATAATCAATCAAATTGAACAAGTATTTGCATATTATTTACTCTGTAGCCCTCAAATTGATCATAATAAATCACTAGAGGGTCTTTTAACAGGACAGGAAACCTAGATATGTATACTCTGCCAGCTCTTCTTATGCGTTTTGGAACTTGTAATTTCGTTGGCTGCATAGCTTGTCAATCATTGTGCCAGAGCCCGTGATTGGCCAGAGCTAAATTGAGAAGCCGTTAGGTTGTCCCTCACTAAGTTGGTTGGCTGATAGCATTGATCGACGTGTTGGCTGACCAATGGGAGAGCTGTAGGCGTTTGAATCCTACTTTTACTTAGATAATAAATTTTCTCACAATAGACGCAAATATGGGCAGGAATTTGGATTAGTACATTTAGAAGTTGTCAGACTGTGAAGTGATTTCTCCTTTCCAGCAGGCAGCATAGCACCCCATCTTATGTGCAACGACAGACAACACTGACTGCTGAGCTGCTGGTCAAAACAAACAAACAAAAACAGGTAAAACAATTAATCAGGTCCAATGTTGTGGTATGTGGTGGACAGTTATGATGACTTCAGCTATTATTATAATGGACTTTCTGACATTAATTTAATTATATATCAGGGGTCTGTATCTTGCAGGTAATTGGGATCATGACTGTCACACTGGTGCAAGTGGAAACACCTGAGCCCAGTGCTTCTCAGGTATTTGGATTTAGGCTTACAGTATGTTGTGTGGTTTCCAGTTATTTGCTTTGTTTTCTTAAAGACACATTTGCCACAGTTTAATGTACAAACAAACTGAACTAAGTAACAATATCTGAGTGTTTACGGGAACAATCTGTGAACCAGATGTGAAGAGACAGGCAGCCCCAATAGTAATCATCAATATACAGGATTGGAAATGGAAATTTATTTTTCTTTTCTTTTTTTTTTTATTCCTACTGCCTTACAACACATTGAGAGCCTGTGTACTGGAGTCACATTCCTGTATGTTCACACATACTTGGCAATTAAAGGTGATTCTGATTTTGATTAAATTATCAATTTGGCAAATATTTTATTATAAAACATCACTACACCCTAACCTAAATAAATCTAAGGTTTGTTTGCATCAGTACAGTCATTGGTAGATGAACCTTTTCTTTTCACTGATATTAACTCAAAGAAGTTTTTGATAGTGTAAATGAGACTGAGATATGGAAGAGAGCAACCAGTGTTAATTAGGGGGGGAAAATACACATTAAGTAAAATTTCATTTAAAAAAAAAGATTTATTCTGTTATATCTGTAAGTTGATAACGATCTTCATCATGTCTGAAATTATCTTAATCAACACAGTTGCTGATAGTCAACACATTCTGAAACAGACTTGCCTGTGTGGGGTCCTTCCAGCTTATTGGCCAAAAATTGGCCCAGTTAAATTTACTTGAATCAGTTTTTTCCCCTCAAGATTACAAAGGCTGTTTGAGGAAGAACATCCCAGTACTGTCACAGCCTAAATATGAACATACTATGACAAATCCTCCATTCTGACTTTAACCCACATCCTACATTCAGCAATTGTCTGGTGATAGTAGCATATTTTCAGAAAGTTTCCTTCTCATTGACTGCAAATTATTTGACATGAATAGTGTATATAATATTGCATTATCATATTTTTTAAAAATATTAATAGTAATTCCTTTGAAAGAAGACAAACAGTACTGTTTTCATAATATAATCAATATTATTTCAACCCATAATTTCCTGTAAATAAATTACAAATGTGAAAATAAATATTTTAAAGGAATGCTTCCTGAAGATGAAAGTCCATTCTTATTAAGCAAAGAGGGACAGACATCTTTCTGTGTTCATTAGAGGCACAACTGCTAAAGAATAGAAAGATGAACACAATTTAACTGTTTAGACCTCATTACAAATTACTGCATGAACTTCCACATGGAAATTATAATTTGATGCTCAATGTAGCAACTTTCTGTACTCGGTTCTGTACTGGAAATTCCTTGTGTGTAACATACTTGGCCAATAAAGGTGATTGTCTTTAACTTGAAGGCAGAAAGAAAATTGTAGTTGATGGTGAATATATAAATGGCAGCAATGCAGCAAAAAAGGCCATGCACCTACAGTCCATAACAAGAACCTTATTTGTTTTATAAGCACAAGACTTTGGAGAATAACACCACTTGAATTTAGCATGGTTAGCTTGCTTGTTAGTTAGCTTCTAGCTTACCATCTGGGCTGAACAAAGACCAAACAAAATGGTTTCATTTTCTAATAACAGCCCTTGACAACATTTAATTGGGTTATGTAGTGTTAGCTTGTTTGCTCTCACTTTGCTTTGAGGGGACAGTATCGCTAGTTAGCAGCCGACTACATGTTTCCCAAGATTCTTGTCTCCTGTAATGTCCTCCTGAAAATGGATACAACAAAGATACAACAAAGTGTAAAGCTACTTTAAGTCCCTTCACATTTTGGAATGTGCATCCCAATAATATTTTGTATATTGGAAGCATGTTGCAGTTCCTGTTTCAAGTCAAATATCTCAGGCTGTGCCCAGTGGCAGCTAAACAACTCAGAAGTGGCACATTGTGACATCTTCTTAGTTATAGATGGCTGCTGCCTTCAGCATGCACATGGCTGCTGGACTTCCCGTTGGTCGGTGAGGACTGTAGCTGGTCTGGGAGCAGGACCTCAACAGTAAAACTAATTCTTTTGGCCTGGAAGAGGCTGTAGGTGTTGTCAAATCTCAGCACATCTGCGGAGGACAAACACAGCAGGATAGTTACTACACTTCTGGATCTGATGTTGCACTAACATGCTCGACATTTCTAAAGCATTATAAACACCAGACTGTGCTGAATGTATTGAACAAGTTACTCACAGACTCCTGGGTGTTCACAGGTCAGTGACCCATCCTCGGGCACTAAGTGGGCATTGTAGCGCTGGCTCGGCAAAACTTCCAGCATCTGACCTGCCTTCTTCCATTCACCCTTTTTAGTCTTTAGAAACACCCCGAAACCAATGTCTGCCCCCTCACTGGCAAACTGCCACCTAACAGGATGGAAAGTATCTACAGTAAATTCATTAACTAATGCTTTTCTGGCTTGTGTACTTGATTTATTGAAAAAATTAGAGACTGCAATTTGGTTTCTTACACATTAGTTGAAAGAAAAGAAGCTGACCTGAGGATGCAGCCTGGGGCCAGGATCTCATAGTCCAGCTGCTGGGAAGAACCTCGACTGACAGTCATACACTGCTCATAATCCACTTTAACATGGTCTCGCACATAGTAGGAGGAGGGAACTGGGCCGACATGGTTTATCTGTCACAGAGATTCAAACAGCCAAAATACAGGCGTCAAACACTTTTATAGGATATGTTTGGAGGAAAGAAGACATGGAGGAAGAAAAAAGCTTCACTTACTGTGACTCTGTACCTTCATATATTTATAAATGCTTGTACATTTAATACTTTTGCACAATACCAGCTTATTTAGCCGTTAAAAGATTCACAAACAGCAAAGTGTGCTCTCCTTTTCACTTATTTGTTTATTCATATAAAGTCAAACCAGTTCAGTGACCCCCCCCCAGTTTGATTTGATTTATTCTTTCAAGCATGTAAAGACAGTTGATATGTCAACACACATAATTTTACACATATCCAACAAATGCTAATCCAATATCAATTTGCTTATACCTAGTACATGCTTGAATGGAGTAGGAAGAAGTCAGACTTATCCAGTCCTACCCCATGACATCATCTTACCATCATTGGTTTACAAGCAGTATCTCTACATAAATAATTATCTTCTACACCACACAAGTAATATACTAAAAAAATTATAACAGAGTGTTAACATTCTTACATAATTACATTCTTAAATAATTACCTTCTGCACCACACAAGTAATATACTAAAGAATTATTACAAAGTGTTAACATTCATACACCACACCCACAATGTTCCATCTAATTAATCATTAAACCTGTTCTTGCATATATCTTGATTGACACATACCTTTATATTTATGTTTAAACTCGTCAATTCTATTACTATTTTTTATATCCACACTTAAATTATTCCATAGTTTTACCCCACTTATGGAAATACAAAATCTTTTTTTGGTTGTACATATAGCATGAATTTTTAAATTTAACTGACCCCTTAAATTGTATCCCCCTTCCCTTTCATTAAATAGTTTTTGAATTCCACCAGGTAATAAATTGTTCCTGGCTTTATACAAAAACACAGCAGTCTTATATCCCACTAAATCAAAAAATTGTAACAATTTAGACTGTATGAAAGCTACATTGGTGTGATCCCTATACCCCATCTTATGCACAATTCTTATCACTCTTTTTTGTAATATATACAATGGTTGAAGTGAGCTTTTGTATGTATTTCCACAGTTTTCAACGCCATACTCTAAGTATGGTAAAATCAATGAAGAATACAAAATACGGTGCTTTCCCGTCTAAAATATATCTAACCATTGCCAATATCGATATATTTTTGCTATTTTGTTTCGGGACATATCTATATGCGATTTCCAGGAGAAGTTGTCATCAACTATGACACCTAGAAATTTAATTTCATATACTCATTCTATATTAGCTCCCCCAATTTTCAATTGAAGTTCATTATCTAGTCTACGATTCCCAAATACCATAAATTTAATTTTATCCAAAATCAGAGATAGTATATTACTATCACACCATTTCTTTATCCTCTCAAGTTCCTGTGAAACCCGTCCAGAGAGTTGCTGCAGGTTTTCACCTGATGCCTATATGGTAGTGTCATCAGCAAACAAAACCACTTTCACTAAATCAGAAACCTTGCATATATCATTAATGTATAATATAAATAATTTAGGTCCCAAAACACAACCCTGAGGCACTCCACATACAATATCCAGCTCACTCGATTGGTATTCACCCAACTTCACAAATTGACGCCTCTGTGGCAAATAACTTCTAATCCAATTCAGAACCAATCCTCTGATCCCATATTTTTCTAACTTATCCATTAATAACTCATGATTGATTGTGTCAAATGCTTTTTTTAGGTCAATAAATATTCCCACCGTGTATTTCTTCTCATCCATAGCACTTGTAATGTCCTCCATCAGGTCAGTAATGGCCAAAGATGTCGATCGGTTCGACCTAAAACCATATTGGCAATCAGAGAGGATTTTATGTTTGTCAATAAATGTATCTAATCTGTTATTAAAGAGTTTTTCCAGAATTTTTGAAAATTGTGACAACAGAGAAACCGGTCTATAATTTGTGAAGTTGTGCTTATCACCAGATTTATACAGAGGAATAACCTTTGCTATTTTCATATTATTGGGGAACTGCCCAAGTCGAAACGACATGTTAAAAACATGGGTTAATGGTTTGCATATCCCCTCAATTACCCATTTAACAGTTGTCATAGTGATACCATCACTATCACTAGATG